CTTCTGGTGACTGTCACCTGGCACTGGCACTTCTAAAACTCATAAGGTTCATCCGTGTGACTGGAGTCTGTCTGGGACTCTAGTCCTGCCATAATTTGCAGACCTCAGCTGTTCCCTGTGAGCCCTTCATGTTTTCATAACCATTGTCACCTGGGTGATGTTAAACTACAAAGTTTAGCTGCCAGAGAAAGGTGTATTTCTGTGTACAGAAGCATTGAGGTGCAGATTTAATATTTTAATTCTTATTTTTATAAACCTGTATTTAGGACAGGACATGAATTACCATATGAAAATCTATCTTGGGGAGCTGCTGCTGTCTCCTGGTCAGGCTCATTTCACGAGGTCGTCTCTAATAGAGATGATGGAGAAACCCTGAGACAGCCATCTTTTCTTTAACTCCAGCAAAATGGCAACCAGCCATGTGGCTGAGTAAAAAGTGGTGGCAATCCAAACTGGAATCGTGTCATATGGTTCCTTTATAATTATCCATTTCTAGTGTTACAAGTTTTAATTTTTTAGCTAACTTTGTTTTAATTTTAACAGATTTTTAACCATATCTAACAAAAATAAACTTATGAATTTTAAAGTAGAGAGTGTTCACATAAACTATCTCTAGATTTTTTTTTCTTTTTCTTTGTTGTCACTGTGTCAGGGGCTCAGACTGGCAGAGCAACATAGAGAAAACTTCAAAATAAGTGTGCCTGGTTTAGTGAAGGAAGGGCCATAATCAAACTCTAGAGACAGCTTTTTAACAAGAACAGCATAAGACAGTTTTAATGTCATCTGCATCAAAAGATATCTGAGCTCCTGCTAACCTGAATCCAGAGACAATGACCAGAGCTCAGGGACAAATTCTCAGTCATGATCATTAATGTAACCACAGCAGCGGTGGGTGGTGACTGACTCCTGTCAGCAAAAATATCCAAACCATTCTTGTTTCAGCTCCATGCTTGCAGCAAAACTTACAGAAAACACAGACAACTTTCCAACAAAATAAGCATACACATCCTGATTGACAGGCAGGTGGACAATACCCCACCACCACCACCACCGATCTCCTCAAAGGACACGTGAAGTCCCTTACACAGTGCAGGAATGAAGCAGGCTTGGGGGAAATGTTGCTCACCTCACCGGTTGCCTGTGTGCCTATATCTCATGCATGGAATGTGTGTATATTTTATGACTGAAATGGAATGTACAGGGAGGGGCGAATCTGTGATCTGAGTCACCTGCCCATGTTTTAGAGCAACCTAGGCCTCATCCACCTGGAAACACAAGGTCACGTTAACAGTCACACCTAAAATGCCACTATTTCCTGCCCACCTGTGCACATCAGGACCTCAGCCTCTTAAATCCCATCTCAGGCGTTTGGGGAATTCTTCAAGGAAACCTTGATGGCACAACCATGGTCAAAGCTAAGAGCATATCATTCCCATGGTTACCAATCCTCAGGGTGGATGACAAAAGATACTCAGGAGTCTACCTTTGGCCAGAATTGTACAGTATACCATCTGCAGCATTTTCTATACAACTTGGTCATGCTTAATTCACCCTGGTGTTGACCATCATCACAGCCGGTGACCCTGCTACCCCAGCCTAGCCCACTGTCAGTGAAATTTCCCTATGCAGTGGCCAGTGTGGACAGGCAGGATTTGGGGGAGGGGCCAGTGGGTGGGAATTATACCTTCTGATCATCTCTACATGGACCTCTTGTAGGCACCAGGGAAGTTTTGAAGCTGGTTAATCCCCCTGGTCAGATCCCCGTCCTCCCCTTCTTCCTGGGGATAGTGGCTCTCATTCGCTACCTTTCCTCGGTACCCAAGATCTCTGTGCCCACAGGGAGGCATCCATGACATCACTGACGAGCAAGAAGTACATCCTGAGGTTCCCGGCGCTGGAGACCCTGATGCTGGATGACAACAAACTGTCCAATCCCAGCTGCTTTGCCAGCCTGGCTGGGCTCAGGAGGTAATGTCACAGCCCCCCTCTGCACCATCCCCCAACCCCAGTGGGGCTCACACCCTGAGTGCTGCATTCATACTACACAGCAAGGGGTGAAATCCCAGCTCCGCCATAGGTCTCTGCTGTGTGGTCTTGGGCAAGGCAGTTCTCTCTCTGAGCTTAGCCTGGCAGAGAAATGCAGCATCAGTAAGATTATTTCTGGTCATGTGTAGGATTAGCCATCACCCAGAGTAGAACCCTGACCCTGAAAAAGAAGACAAGTGTCCCCCCCACACACACACACACAACCACATACAAAGAACTTTAGCTGTCAAGTTCTGCACATTTGACAAAGATCTCTAAAATATTTCATTTGAATTTAGTTACTATTTACTGAGTACTGCTGTGCCCAGCTGCTTACATATTGTCTCATTTAGTCTTCACTAGAGCTTTAAAGATTAATAAACCTTATCCCCATTATGAGGTAAGGCCATTGGGCCCCAGAGAAGGTAAGTACCCCCCATCTCAAGTTTATACAACAGGTGTCCATGTCCAAGCCTGAATCCATGTGTGTTCCCCAGCTTACTCAGTAATATCACTTGCTCAGTGGTATCACTGCTGAGATTCTGAATTTACTTTCCTTAATTGAAGACTGAAGAAATTGAGCCTGGACCAAAACAAGATTTTCCGGATCCCGTACCTACAACAGGTTCAGCTCCGTGATGGATCATCAGGGGACTGGGTTACAGAGGGGCCAAATTCCCAGAAAGAGCTACAGCCCCAGACGTGGATATTTGAGACCCCATATGAGCAACCAGATTATACTGTACTGCCCATGAAGAAGGACGTTGACCGCACAGGTGAGCCATGTCCTTGGGTCCCGATGCTTGCTCTATCAGGGAATGGGCTTCTGGGGGTTGGTTCTGGGAGCCCCTATATTCTAAATGAACGGCTTAGACTTCCTAACCATTTCTGTCAGGTGAGGTGCTCTTCAACTCCAACTGAAAGTAGATAATTGTCATAAAAATTCTCATATATTAAGAAACTCAGGAGTCAGGAAAGCCTGAGGCGCGTCCATGTCTTCAAGGGCTTTGAGCCTTTCCACCCTCCTTGGGCACTGGCTTGCCTGTGTGTCCTGTTAAGCTGATTCCTACTAGGTTCTCAGGATGGCTCCACATGGCATTCTCCCAAGGCAGAGGAAAGACACATTCCAACGTTATAAACCCCAGAAGAGTCTAGAGGGCACATGTCTGGGTTGGACATCCTATGTTACTCTGCATCTGCCAGCTATTTGTTGTTCAAATGGGGGTAAATGGCTTACAGCAGGTGAAGAACAGAAATCTCGGGCAGAGCTTGACGTTATATACCCACTCTTTACCCATCACTCACAAAACAATCCAGAACATTCCCAGTGGGAGCCTGGCAGTAAACACCTCCTCCAAGAGTAACCTCCCTTGTCCAGTTTGAAGTTCATGTACAGAACTGTACAGCATGGACTTGGTGTCGTTTCTTTCACTCAGTGTTGTGTCATTGGGTTCGTTAGTATTACTGCACACATCTTTTCCCCTGCTCTTATTTACTCTGCACACCATGATTTATTTCCTTTTTACTGATGAGACACACTGGTTATACCTAGTTGGAGGTTGTGAACTGCTGTGAGCATCCTCTCATCATTTGGTGTATGCCCAGGAGAGAACTTGCCTGTTGCACATCTCCAAGTCTGTTGAGCATTCACGGACACTGTGAGCATGAGCATCAGCCAGCGTGGCTGTCCCAGCGTTCGTGTCCACTCTGCTGTGTGTGATTCTCAGCTACTCCATAGCCTCAAAAATGCTTGAAAGTTCAGGTTAGCTGTCCTGCTGTGCTGGGTAGGCATGGTGGTTTCATTCCCATCTCTCAGAAAACAAGTGATGTTATCTGTTTATGTGTTTGTTGGTCACTTCAGTGTTTCTTTGGAAAATGCTCAAGACTTCTGTTTTTAAATTGGAGTGCATATCTTTTTCTTGACTTGCCAGATTCTTTATAACTGTGGACACAAATCCTTTATAAATGTTACAGAAATCTCCTAGTGGGCAGTTTGTTTTCCTTCCTCCTGTTGTTCTTCCTCTTTCTCCCATTCTGCCACTGCTAGGATCAAACCCCGAGGCTCACAAATGCTCAGCTAGCTCTCTACCAGCTAGCTCTAACTCCCAGGTGATGTTCATCCTAATGGCATTTGATGAACAGAAATCCTTTCAATGAAATCTGACTCGTCAGTATCTTATGTCATTGTTTTTCTTTCCTGTTTTAAGACTTTGGAGCCTCTCTCAAAACTCTCTCAAGACTATGGAGATATTTTCCCATATGTTCTTGTAAAAGCTTGAGTGTTCAAATATTGGTCAGTGATCTGCCTAAGGTTTTCATATGTGGTGTGAGGCAGAGTCAACATTTGCTTGCTTGCATGTACTTTGTGACCCAGCACCATTAACTGGAAGACCTGTGCTCCCCACTGAGTAGGGAGACTGTCGGGTGACAGTGAGAGTCACTGTAGCTTCCAAAAGTCATTCTTCCTGACAGCTCTCAGATGACTCACTTTCTCCTGTATCTACACACATGGCAGGAGTGGGGGGGATGGGGGAGGGGACTGACTGCAGCCAGACCTGAGCTTGGTCCTGCCACTGGCCTGCTCTCCTCCATGGGTTCCCTAGAAAGACTTTAAAAAAAAAAAAATCTAATTGCCTTATTGGCTGACCCAAACAGTATGGCATTGAATAGAAGCAATGATGGGAATTTTTCTTCCTAAACTTAGGAGGAAAGTGTTCAATATTTCAAAAGTATATTCGCTGTATATATTTTTGTAGACACTTTAAAGAAATCTGCATGTATTCCTAGTTTGCTGAGAGGTCTTTTGTTTTTCTTCTGTGAATTAGTGTTGAATTTTATTGGTGGTGGGAAGGTGAAAAAAAATTGAGACAGGGTCTCACCATGTAGCTCTGGCTGATCACAGAGATCTGCCTGCCTCTGTCTCTCCAGTACTGAGATTAGGGACATGTACCACCAACCTCTACAACAGACTGATGGGGTGGGGTTACCACGATTCTTTACTTGAGGGTGTGAGAGAACTCTGGATGAACTTATCAGTGTTGAGTCAGTCTTGCACTCCCTCGGCCTCGGCCATGATGCTCCAGGAGGTGACTAGTGTAACGCCTTCCTCTGTGGCGAGATTCCTGTGAGGAATGGCGATCAGGGCTGTGATTGCCTCATGAGCTCAAGGGTGTGCAGTGTTCACTGCTCTCGTTTCCACGCCGTGACGCCACCAGAGCCTGGGGTTTTCTCTGTGTGGAGAGGCTGTAGTCAGGAGGAGGGCTGCACAGGATGCAGTCCCGCAGGTGCTCTGCCCTGGGCCCCAAGGATGAGCTCGTTCTCAGCCACTTCCCTGTCTCAGCCATTCTGAGCTCCCCAGACGGGATGTCTTTTCTGTCCTTCTCTCTTATGAGCCAGCTGGTTAGCTTCCTACCCCATGCAGGCTTCCCAGCAGCACCAGGGCTACAAAGAGCTTGCACGTTACAAAGTTAGGATGAAGGTCCATGTGACTGAAACACTGTGAGTGAGCTGAGGTGGGATAAGATGGGAGGAGCGGGGAAGGGACCAACCATTGGCCTCAGCAGCCTGGCTAAGGCAGTTGGGTATCATCCCAATCCAATCCTTTTCCAGTTAGCACTGAGACCATCTGGGAGGCACCAGAGCACACAGTGGGGAAGGTGCTGAGCCCTGACCCTGAGATCAGTGGGTGTTGTTCTCACCAACCTTTCCTCTGTCTTTTTGTCGTTTCAGAGGTTGTATTCTCATCTTATCCTGGATTTTCGACCTCAGAGGTAGGAGGAACTGCTGCTTCATGTTTGTGTTTGCTCAATGTCCATGTAGGGATGAACCCACAGCCTTACACAGATAGAGCGGATGCCGTTCCACTTCCAGTCTCTCCTGGGTTCCTGTTCCCCGACACGGTGAAAAGTCTTATAGTTGTACTTCAGTAGTGGGAGAATAACGGCAAAAGCATTAAAGGGTAATGAACAAGTAATAGATCCACAAGAGACATTTCTCTAGGCCACATATTCACTACCTACTGCGGTTCAGCCCTATGCTGACCACTGGGGACATGGAGGGGGGAACTGACCAGGCCCTGACCTCATCGGTCCACAGGCTTGCTCCCTCGCTTGCCTTCATACACTGTTTAGCAGAGAATAGTGACAAAGGCTATCAGGTGATAAAATTGAGACTGCCACCAGGAAGCCTTCTCACAAAGGCCTCAAAAGATAGATTTCTTGCTGATTACACTGTTGCCCAGATCTGAGCCTTGCTATCAAAGGCGTACTGTTTGATTCTGTCAACAGAGAAGACTGGTTTCCTTCTCGGCATAGCTCACTAACCCTGTTCATGGACAGAGGATACATGTAGACTAAATACTGATGCCTCCATGTGCAGCAAGTTGTGCGGGTCTACACCCAGCCAACTCATACCCTTGAAAGATAAAGCTACCTCCTCACAGATACGACTGTGTCAGAAACTGTATCAGTTAACTGTTGGTTGCACAACAAAACTACCGACCACTGACTGACTTCAGTTCAGCTGATTACTTCCCAGATTATTGGAGCTAGCAGGGTGGTTCTGCTGGAGTTGCAGGCCAGCTGGCAGTTGAGCTTCAAAGGATATGGTGTGCCCTGGCCTCTCCACATTGTCTTTACACCCTGGTCTTAACAACAGGGCAGTTTCAGGTCTCAAGAGAGCAAGCAAGCAAGCAAGCACAGAAGAGTGTGAAATTCAAATGGGTCACATTGGCCACATTCTATTGTCAAAGCAATTAGAGGGCAGGATGACAGAGCACAGTGCCAACACTAACCAGCCCAGAGTTTAAGGTCAAGTTTAGGGGTAGAGTTCCTAAGAAAACTGCCCTCACTCTAGGTGCCAGTCATGAAGGAAGAAGACAGTAAGATGTTCACACTGTGACTGATAAAAACTTGGGAGTCCCCACAACACCCTCCTCTGAGATTCAGTACTTGTAGAACTCAGAGAACTTGAGAAAGGGTCTTGCTTAACCGCCCACAGTGGTAATATAAAGGACAAAAAAATGAGGCCAGCAGAATGAGAAGGCTCCTGTGTGCACCCTCCCCAGGGAACCTGGCATCCCACCCTCCTGGCAGGTAAGTCAGTGTACTTACCCACCAGGAAGCTCTCCTGAGCCTCAGCATGCAGCTTTGGTAGAGCATCTTCTCTGATGCATGTTTGAGCTCAGAGCCCCACCCTCCAACCAAGTCTGCTCCTCATCCCATTAGCAAAATGGAAATGTGGTTCAAGGAACCCTGGTAACAGACAGGCCATCACTTAGGGAACCCTGGTAATAGACAGGCATCACTTAGGAAACCCTGAAAACAGACAGGCATCACTTAGGGAACCCTGGTAACAGATAGGCATCATTTAGGAAACTCCCAGAGCTTTAGAAGCTCAATGCCAGGAGTCTGGGACAGAAACCAGATAAATGTTTCACCAAAAGGCAGTCAGCATACTTTTAGAAATGTAGAAACAGCAGCTGCCCATTTGGGTGGGGCAGTGTCAAGGGTCACATTGCAGAAAGACGTTCATATTGGATGGAAGGGCCTGTGACCAGGGATGTTTCTTGGAAATAAATGACAGTTGACAGGCTTGTCAGTGCTTACAGTTCAGTACCGAGAACCTGGAAGGTGAACTGGAGGTAGAGATGTCATAGGTCTCCTCTCAGTGAAAGTCGGATGCATGCTCCTCTAGGAGAGGGTCAGTCACGCCCTTAGTATTCTGAGCCAGGTTCTCTGGGCTTCCTGGGCTGTGCTCTACTGACTCTCCCTTTTTGCTTACCCAGTCTTGCCCCAATTCTGACCCTTCAGGGGTCCTAACAGGCCAGACTCTTGCCACCTACTTCCTCAAGAGTTCAGGGAGACAAGTGATGGTCAAGGAAGAAAATAATTTATTACGCAGTGTGACCACTCTGAGAAGAAACGGTGACTAACCCTTGTCTGTGGGGTACTGAGAAGATCCCAGGCTATGTAGGGGTAGAACAAAAGACTATGTGGTGGGCCCATAAATATACACAGATCATCAGTCTTGGTCAATCTCTGTGTGACTCATCATTTCAGGTCTTGTTCTGGAGGGCCTGTAGTCTCTCAGAAAAGTATTGCTTGGTGGAGGGTGGGGATCAGTCACACACTGACTGTTCCTACTCAAGGGGCAGCCTCCACTGCCTTATGGGATAATTGCTTCTCCCCCTCTTCCCATGGTGGGGGTGATCTGCCTGCAGTCTACATCTAGAATCTTGAACATGTCTTAATTACTCTTGTGTCTTCTGCCTTGAAGGATGATGGCGACCCCTTAAATGTGTATGTGTGGACTTGAGCAGGGATATGACCAAAAGTTGAGAGTTGCAGAGATAGCTATAGGCCCCTAAGGAGTCAGAGGCAGTCCTTCAATCCCTGTCACAGGAAGCTGAAAAGTAGAGCTTTCTGTTGCTGTCATTGTACCCTGCTCTCTCAGATTGCAGGGTGACACGGACCAGAGGAATCATTATCACTCATTTCTGTTTTGCCTCATGCTGGCCTGCCTCATTCGTGCAGCTTCACCAGGTGGCTCAGAAGGACATGAATATCTGACCCCAAGTCGTTGTTCCACTATTGAACAAAGGACGGCAGAATGATTGCGTTAAGATCAAACAGCAGTTAGTGGCACTTAGGGCATTTGGTTCATCTTAGCTCAATTATCTTACCTGCATCATGCCCTTTGAACTCATGCAATTCATGGAACATAAGTGTCTGGCATGGTTAATCCATCAGTTCCATTTTCATGCTTGATCCTACATTGGCCCTGAGGCACTCTAGGCTATAGGGAGCCCAGGAACTACAGGCTGCTACAGAGAGTTGCATTGGTATGAATCTTGCTCTACTGATACAAATCTTAGGTCAATTTTGTTATTTGTATATTTCTGCTCTTGATTAAGGCATTGTGTTTGTGCAGCTCATTTAAAAATGTATAATTAAGAAATACAGGCTAATAGAGTCATCTATAATAGTCAAGCTTGTAGTCACGTTAGTTAGGATTTCTAGATGTACAGAGATGTATTTCAGATGAACAGGCATTCTTCAAACCTTTCAAAGACTACAGAATATGGCATTTAAAACGTTTTAAGAACTTAGGACTTTACATGACTATGAGACACATCTGCTCCTGGCAGCGCAATAACTTCAAGAGCAAGATGGACGCTGAAGAAGTTCCGTATGGAGTTTGTTAGCCATTTGGGAAAGAAACTGCTCTTGCCTGAACTGCTTGACTGAACATGCAGGACCCACAGAGAAATGACTGCTGAACTTGCCTAAAGTTGAGACGACCCTTCAGGGTTTCTGTTTCATGAAAGAATCTGCCTGATATTCAACAGAACACAGAAGAAAGTGACTGACAAACTGCCAATATAGGTGGAACTGTCTTTGAAATTTCCTGCTTCATGGAAAAGTCTGCTGGATACTATGGGCCTGTAGGCTAAAGATGGGTGCCCACATTGTTACAGAAGAACTTTGGGTGACTGCCTAGGCAGTGAGATGTCTCTGTCAATTCAAGAGTTTTGGAAGTTGCTTACAATGAACTTCCTGTTAACTTAGGTAATATATTCTTCTGGAGTCTTTGCTGGAATTGAATAGATAGTTATAGTTTCCTTAGTTATGATAAAAGATAAAGTAGATATAAATATTGTAATTAATTCTTGCTTGATAACTGTTTTGTTATCTGTAATTTTACTATGTTAAAATTAAAACCTTCCTTTTCATTTAGACAGAAAAGGGGAGGTCATGTGGGATTTCCCTCTGTATGCTGTGATTACCATTGATTAATAAAGAAGCTGCTTTGGGTTTATAGTAGGGTTAGGCAGGGAAAACTAAACAATTCTGGGAGAAAAAAGGCGGAGTCAGGGAGATGCCATGTAGCCACTGTCAGGGACAGATGCGCCAGAACCTTGCCAGTAAGCCATAGCCACGTGGTGATGCACAGATTAATAGAAATGGGTTAATTTAAGATAAAGCCAGAAATACGCTTAAGCTATTGGCCAAAAGGTATTGCAAATAATATAGTTTCTGTGTGATTATTTCAGGGCTGAGCAATGAATGAACGGTCTCTGCCAACAACAGGTGATCTAGATGAAGACGCATTCTGTCATCAGGCTGAGCCTGGCTCTGATCACTGGGACTTAGTTGTTGCTCCACCCTGAATGAGAACTGGGAGCTCAGGGCCTAGGGGTTACGAGTTTCCCCACTCAGTCCCCTCCTGCCTTCCCTCTTCTACCCAAGACAACTGAATGCCTTTATCAGTGTAAACACCTCCTCTACCTTTGGGGAAATTTTAGCTGAGTTGCACAGAAGGGCTAGCCAGGGCCAAGTTGCCTCAGGGCTGGAGGAAGGGCAAGAGCCTCTGGTTTTTACAACACTCCTGTGATCTTCTGTGGCCCCAGGGAACTTGAAATTGGAACTTTGGATACTGGAGAATTAGCTCATGTGACCTCAGAGAATGTGGAGTCAGAATTCTGGCCTTTATGACCCTAAATGTTCCTTTGGCCAGACTCATAGAGGTCTTTTCATCACACCCAATAGAAAGGACATTTGACTGCTGCCAGCCTCAGTTTCTTTTTTCTTTTTCAAATCATTATGACACTTTGACTCTGACTTTTCTCTTTCTAAGACAGCCAAGATATGTTCACTTCCTCCCATATTTGAGATACTTCCTGTGAAGTCACTGAAAGCAAGGAACCAGACGCTGGCCCCACCTTTCCCAGAGCTAAGATACCTTAGCCTGGCCTACAACAAGGTAACTGCTTTTGCTGTTTCCTTGGGGCATGGATGGGAGGAAGGGATGTGAACCGTTCTGGCCTGGAGCCCAGCAATTTCTTCCCTGCATGCAAGTGTGTGGCTCTGGTTCTCAAGAACTTCCATGTGCTGGCCTTTGCGCTAGGCGCTGGGGGTACACGTTTGAAGACCTCCAGACTGGGGCTGGAGCTTGGTTGATAGAGTACACTCGGTGTGAAACCCAGGGTTTCAGCACCCAGTATGGCTTAAAGTAGGTGTGGTAGCACATCCTTGTGATCCTGCCACTACCTCCTGCCTGTGAGCTTGAGGTTAGCCTGAGCAAGAGAGGCTGACACAATGTCAGCATGGTTGGTGCTATGAGGAATACATAGCACTGTGAAGCAGTGTATGATGCCGGGTCTGACCTCATGTTTGGCCAAGGAAAAGTGGTGTCTGAGCTTAGATCAGAGTCATCGAGTTTCATCAGGTGAAGGCGTTGAGGGAACACAACAGATTTAAAAGTCCATGTGTCTGACTTCGTCTGGTTCCCCTCTATCTAGTATATCCAGATCTTGTTTGTTTTCTATAGACCCTTAGTTTTTTTCTTCTTGGAGAACAAACCCAAGCTCTCATGCATACTACACGTGTCCACCTACTGAGCTACACCCCAGCCCGTGTTTTTCGTTCAACAAAAGTATTTTTTAATTTTCCCTGTGGTTTTGTCTTTTCTTGTGGGTTCCGTGGGCATCTGTCTATGTCTCTACCCTTGCACTTGTGGCCTATGTCATCTGTGCTAAAGCGCATCCCTTTCAGACTACAGAGAACTCATCTCTGCTAGGCTGTGAGAGTGGTTCTCTGCTGCTCCTATCTGCAGCTCTCAGGCTCCCCCCCCCCACATCCCTGCATCTCTGGCTGATCCCATTAGCTTCTCTGCTTCCCAGCAGACTACTGTTGCTTGTTCTTTGACACTTGCCAGCCCAAGGTAGAGAGCTCCAACCCCAGCCTTGGGCAGCACTGTGGTCCTGCCTCTCCAAGATGTCAGCTCTTGTGGTCCTACCGCTGCTGCCCCCATGGCAGCAGGAGATCTCTACTGTGCAGGACCTAGGTGCTTTTCTACTTCACCTCAGGAGTAGCAAGTGCTCCCTTTCCCAGATGCCATGTCTGGGGGTTGGCTGTTCTTTCTGGGCAGCAGGGGGCCACTGCCTCTCCTGCAAGGGCAGCTGTTCTACCCTAGGCATATGTTATGCCACGTGGTGCTGTCCCATGATGACGCTGCTCCCTATGAGGTGAGTCAGATGACTTCAGGTGCATAGGTTTCAGTGATAGCCTCTGATTTCTCTCCAACCTCACTGGGTTAAAGGCAATATAACAAACCTATGAGCTATTAAATACTGGTTAAAGTTTGAGTTAAAATGAATGTTTTGCTTTTGACACAACACTTCTAAGTGAACATCTGGGGGAGAGATGTGGTCTTGTATCCACACACCATAGCCATACCCTCAGGAGCCTTATTGCCTTGCTCTGAGCCACAGATGGACTTTAATAATTCATACAATCTTTAGTTGATTAGTCCTTAAAGCACATGTAGCCCTGGCATGGACCTCAGGTGAGCTAGTGTCCCACTCGCCAGGGCTTCTCTGAGACCAGAGTTCTCTGCCAGCTTCACAACAGTTGGGACATGGCTTGCCCGGCTTGCTCTTGTTGGGATGGGGTAGTGCTCCTGTGTCCTGACCATGATTCTGTATGACAGTTAACTCCTGGCACTGTAGCTCCCTTGTCAGTTGCCTGGTACGAGTGTTAGGCTGTGTGTTACTTACACATGTATCCTTAGCATCCAGAATAACACGATGCATGGTGCACACTAAGACTTCATGAATGCTGCTCGTAGCACACCGCAGACACAGATAAATGTTTCAAAACCAGTGTTTGGTTTACTAGAGGTACAAGCTTTAAAAACCAATTCTGCCTCCAAACAGAAGTTCTCTCCCCCAGATGTTCACTTAGAAGTGTTGTGTCAAAAGCAAAACAGTCATTTTAGCTCAAACTTTAGCCAGTATTTAATAGCTCATAGGTTTGTTATATTGCCTTTAACCCAGTGAAGTTGGACAGAAATCGGAGGCTATCACTGAAACCTGTGCCCCTGAAGTCATCTGACTCACCCCATAGGGAGCAGCTAGCCTGGGGCCAGATTCTGCCTGCCAATCAGCTAGCCCTGAGCCCATGCCTTTCAGGTAGAGCTTGGCATCACAGAACTTCTGACAACCACACACCTTGGATGCCACTCAGCTTCCTTTGTATTTTAATTATAAACAGGATCTTGTATCTTGACTGAATTAATTTATATATCACATTGTAGTGCTTGTCTCTCCTTGTGCCATCCTGGGCCACCACAGGCAAGCCTGGAGACTGAGCCTCCTTCCACAAGTTTTTTGGTAATGTGTTCTCAGCATGGTAGGCATGCATTCTGCCACTGAGCCATATCCCCAAACCCAGCAATTTTTCTTTTTTTAAATAAAGGGCCAGACAATAGATCAGTCTGTTGTCGCTCCTTAGCTCTGCAGAGGTGGTATGACCACAAGGAGCAAGCTGGTGATCTATTGAAACTGAGTGAGCCAACGGATTGCTGTGGCCCCTGGACTGAGTGGCTTTTATATTTTCAGGTACATTCAACAAGGATAGCGTTTCATGATGTGTTAAAATTATATGGAATTAAATTTCAGTGTCTATAAGTAAAATCTTACTGCAAAAGAAACACTCTAGCTATTTGCTCATGAATTGTCCAGGGCTGAGTCAGAAGCAGAGACTGTGTCCCAGCATTTATTGCCTGGCTCTTCACATGAAGTTTAGTGCCCTGTAATCTCGAGAACCAAGTGCTGGGCTAGCTGAATGACCAGCCATGAGAAGGCATTTGCTCCAGTGCAGTCCAGGATCCAGTAGCCATCTGAAGAGTCTGTCTTTTCCCTGCCACCCTTGTGCCTCTGTGTCCCTGCGTCAGTCCCACTCTGGGCTCCTCTGAAACACACCGCTGTTCCCATATTCTAGCTACTCTGCTCAACAATGCTTGTGTGATTTTTGTCATGCAGTCTGGCCTGACCACTTACAGGCTAAGTGTGCAAGGGCACTATAGCCACTGGCCCCAGCCAGTCCTGAGCTGTCCAGCCATGAGATGGTGTCCTTTGCCGTGGCTCAGCTACATTCCAATTGTTAAGTGGGTTCCTGCCCTCTGGTGCTCTTCACCTGATCCATCAGTGCTTAGGGCAATGGGAAGAAGAGCCAAGGAGCATTGCTGACGGAATCCTGGGGTATGCAGGTTTGCATCCATAGCCAGTGCCGTCTGTGCCAACCCTCAAGGCTCTTTGAGACAAATGCTTCTGATTATTTGGCCACCAGTATCCTTGATACTCTGGATATGTTCCGTGTGGATAAGAGAGAGATTTCTAACTCTTAAAGATACACAGCAATGAGGACTGGAGCGATGGCTCAGCTGTTAAGAGCACCTACAGCTCACAACCAACTGTAATTCCAGTTCAAGGAGATCAGACACCCTCTTCTGGCCTCTGAGGTCACTGTACACATGTGTCACACAGACATACTCGCACGCAAAACACTCATATGATGAAGCAGTGGTAACAGAATCTTTGGACAGGAGTGCCTGAGTAGGCAGTGGTGCAGGGATAAGGCATGGCCTCCTGTCCATCATTCTCACATCTGTCCTGCAGCCATCCTTATCTGGCCGGGGAGCACTGACTAACATACCTCCTGCCCTTGTTCCAGATCGCAAAGGAGGATGCTGTCCTGCCAGCAGCTCTCTTCCCCTCTCTCTGTGAGCTTGTCTTCCACAACAACCCTCTGGTAGCGCATACACGAGGTATGGCAGCCATGGATCTGTCCCCCAAACCAGCGCTCATCCGCTTAGATGCTAAGGTGGGGATGGAGCAGGCCAAGGAGGGAGGGGCTTGTCTGTCTGGAGAGTGGAGCACAGCAGCCATGGCAAACAGGCACTAACCGCAAGAACCACAGTGGCTCTGGTCTGCTCAGGGTAACTCAAGAAAAAGAAGAAAAGCTGGGCATTCTGAATTCTCTCGCCCTTATCTGAGCTCTATAAGCTGCACCCTGGTTGCAGAGAAGGGCTCTGTGGTCCCATTTCCAGTTCTATCTGGGGTTGGCACAGCTGCTGGGCTGGCTTTGCCAGCATTCTGAATGCAGTTCTGCTGTGGTGCCCACCATCTTTTAGCCAAGGCCTACCAGCCAGAGGTCTGCTCTAGCCCTGGGTCTGTTGGGACACCTTGCTACACTTTGTCACCTTAGCCTCTGGGTGTCACTTTCCTTGCTTATAGACTAGGAATAACTAGGGTTGAAAAGAGAAGTACATTAACACATACAAAGTAATGTGAACAGTGCCAAACACACAGGAAGCCCCAGGATGTACCAGCCAATCGTCAATCATCTTGTTTTCCTCCACACCAGGGATCCCACCCCTGCTAAAGAGCTTCCTCCAGGAGCGCCTGGGCATCCGCTTAGTGCGAAGGAAACTGGTAAAAGCTAAACACCATATTTTGATACCTCGGAAGGAATCACGAAAGGTAAGTCTTCCAACAGGACCCTGACCCAGGGAAGTGGAGCCTTGTTTTAACATGCGCACTGGCTTGGGCATGAGAACACCCCTCCCCAGCCAAACCTGGAACCTCTCTCTCTATTGACTCCTGTGCCTTCTTTTCTTGTTAGACAGAGCTAGAGGCAGGGGTGATAAGACGGAGAGCCGTCAAGAAGAGGGGGGAAAATGAAGAGCCTTGGAGGTCACTAAGTCAGTGACCCCCGAATTTTACAGAAAAACTAGGACCAGAGAAGTGGGGGAGAAATCAGCCTTGAAGTCAGGACCCCCCACTATCTACAGCTAGACAGTAGATATCTACAGCTATCTATAAAACTTGGCAAGAGTTTTGATCTGAGAGGCTGGTGTCTCGGCTCTGGACCTCACAGAGCTGCTTAAAGGACAGATGAAGAAGCCATGAAGCTACACTGACTTTAGTCACACAAGGTCCTGGTGCACGCAACAGCTCTGGGTGGCCAGAACTAGATACACAGCCCCTGTTGGAGGCAGGCTGGATTCTCTCACTCCAAGTGGGCTCGTAGATTCACCTCTGGGGACCTTGAATTAGTAATTAACATCCTTTTGATCTAAAAGAGTTTCAGAAAATCTGTGAAAAGCGCCTGTCTCCTATCGCAGACATTGCTGGTCCCCAAAGGCAGACACATCTGTCCCTTGCCACCTGCCCTGTGGTTGCTCCGTTAATGAAGCTCTTAAGCCCTAGAGGAGCAGAGCAAGGGTTAAAGCCAGAAACAGACGACATTCTTAGGGTTTCTGTGGCATGCTCTGAGGATCTACCACCTCCCTGTGCATCTACCATCTGGGGCGCGTGGGGGGTGAGGGGAGGATGCTGGGCACATGCTCTGTCTCTTTCCTCGTCCATGGCTGGTACTCCACGGGGCACACACACCTCTGTCCTCACTTTTCTCCCAAGAAAACAGGCTCAGAGAGGTGCACCAGCTCACGAGATACAAGTTAGTGTTGGGTTCAGGGTGTCCCTCGCCCCTCCTCCTGTTTAAGGTTCTGAGTAATCAAGGTATCAGCTTGTGAGAAACAAAGCACTGGGGTACATCTAGGCACACACAGCACTTGGCCCCAGAACATGGCTTAGACCTGATGCCAGCTGAGACAGCAGCCTGTCTGCAGTGTGCCAAGAAAGAGAGCTACACATGCAGGCCAGTCCTAGGACTTTTCTCCTCAACTCCCTGGACAAAGGCTTGGGCAGGAGGAAAACTGAAGTTTTCCTTGTGAGAACACAAGAGGCAGCTACACCAGCCTAGCACCTAGGGCAGGAATGAAGACTGTCAGTTCACCCTGTGGGGGGGTGGGTGGGGAGTGGTCTGACCTGTTCACAAGGAACCCACAAGCTCCTAAGTACAGTGCCCAGGGCCTTTCTACCGCAGTAGTCAGTCTGTAAACCTAGACAACAAGGCACGGACAGTCTCCTTCCTCTTCCCGCTCCACACACAGGGAGACAGTGCAGGAAAGATGGTGACTGGCCCTGCCAGTTAAGTAATTCCACAACTCCTGAGAAGCGCGGCTTAGGGAAATAGCCACCCCATCCCTGTAGAAATCCCTGAGGAGAGAGAGAGGCATCTGGCAAACCCTGAGGAGTGGCGCTGCCAAGAAAGTCAGGTCAGGATGCAGCTGAGGCCTAGAGCCTGGGACAAGTACCTGGGAAAGAGGCCAGTTGTTCCTAGGTGCTTTATAAAATTCTCACATGAGCAACAGTGGCCACGTGGAGGTCAGAAGACAACTTGTAGGAGCCAGTTTTCGCCTTCCAGGCTGGCAGCAAGAGCCCTCCCCACTAAGCCACCACGGTGGTATACGTGACGCTGAGTCCTCTGGGTAGGCACATGTGATGGCCCTCCTGCCTCCCCAGACTCCACTGTTACCATGCAGCCCATCTGAGGCTGGTGGGGTCCAGGACTCACTCCTAACTAGAGAGCAAATCTAACCCAGCCTTTCTCTCATTCAGGTGAAAACCCACGTCCCCAGAGTTCCAAGGCATTCTCTGGTACCCCATCACCTGAGCATGACCACAGACAAACCTCCCTCAAGTTTTATGCAGGAGCCAGAACTAGGAGCTGAGGAACTGCCCTCCACCGAAAACACCTCTCATGAGGCACTGCTAGCTACTGAGGGCCCAGAAGGCCCTTCTGTAACTCACCGGACCTTTGTGCCAATGCCTCCCATCTGCTCCGACTCCACCGTACACAGTGAGCCAGTGTCCCATCCAAGCCGTACAGCTGGCCTCTTGAGCCCAGACCACCCTTCAGATGAAGATGCCAAGAGTACGGAGTCCATCTTCCTGACTCAGGTGCTTGTCCCCAGCTGCCTCCACCTCTGGCTGCAGTGCTCACAGGTTCCTGCACCGAGCTACCTGCACTGCTGTGGACTGTCCAGGACAGGCCGTGCCGCTCTCAGGCACTCTCTGGTAGTAGTAGTAGTAGTCCTGTGGCACAGACAGCACCTCAGATCTCCCTGGGATGTAGTGCTGACCAGTGTGCAGAGGCCTGTCACTACTGTACCTCACTTCCCATGCTGCCCTGGGTCCTGGGAACAAAGGTGGCTCTGATACAGGTGCCATCTTCAAGGTGCTTATGGTCTAAAAGGAAAGCTGACAGGAACAGAACTTGCCATCTGTGCTGAGACTGGGGGAACTCAGGAACCAGGTCTGAGGAAGGATGCCTCTGTTCCAAACCAGGAGGGCTGGGAGAAGGGTCAAATGAGCTGCACTTCTCAGGCCATGGAAGCATTAGCAAGGTAGGGATACGGACAAAGAGAACAGAAAATGTGGTGCAGGGGAAGAAATCCAAATGGAACCATGAATATCCAGTGGGTCACGACCCATTTGGGATCAAACAACCCTTTCACATGGGTCACCTAAGACCATCAGAAAACACAGATATTTACATTATAATCCATAAGTAGCAAAGTTATAGTTACTAAGTAGCTACAAAAATAATTTTATGCTTGGGGGTAACCACAATACAAGGAATTGTATTAAGGGGGTTGCAGCATTAGGAAGGTTGAGAACCACTGGTATAGAGAAAGGAAATCCCCAATGTGAATGACTCAAATCCCAGATATTCTGAATTTTGAATTTTTTTTTATGTGCTAACATATCCACAAGAGGAAAATTCTACATCATGAAATTTTTGTTTCATGCATAAAATCACTAAAGATATATGAAATTACCTTAGGGCTATGTATTTAAAATATACATAAAACATCAAATTTTCCATGTAGAATTGGGTCTCATGCCAAGGCATCTTATCTTGTCATGTAAATATTCTAAAATATAAACGTTCTTCTTCTCCCAGGCATTTCATGTAAAGATTGTTCAACCTCCATAAGGCTAGAATTGGCAGGGTCCCCCGGAACATCCCTACATGGATAGGGCGTCCTGTATTGTATAAAAAACTATTTGGGTAGACCAAAATGTTCCTGGATTCCCTCAAAGTGAGAATAAAGAATACAAAACAAATGCCCTCAGCATGGCATTCGAAGGTCCTTCACCTGGGCCTTGCTCAGCACGCAGGCCACTTGTCTGGTACACTGCTCTTGAAGCATGCATGTTGCTCCTTGACTACTGCCCTCTGTCATGGCTGAAGTCCAGTCTTCTATCTGCCTTTTCTGGGAACAACTCTCCTGTGTCCCAAAGACTTGGCCCAGACTAAGGAATCACTTCCCATGGAGTTTTCTGGTGGGCTTTGGGCCTCTTCTGAGATTCTCTAGACTGGCCATGCCTGCTCCTGTTAGCACATATCACCTATTCTTTTGGCCTCCTTTATGCCTCAGCTCTCCCTTATCAGGGCCCAACACGTGGGCTGTGCAAAGCCCATGTTGGGACTGGGCAGGGAACAAGTGAGTGTGTTTTCTTCCTGGCACAGGTGAATGAATTGCCATCCTCCACCGTCCACAGGGGAAAGTTAGAGGCGAAGGAGAATGCCCAAACGAGACCACTAACTGCACCCAGAGAGGCAAAGAAGACCCGGCGGAAGCAGCCGTCTGCTCCTATGTCCAACAAGTATGAGGGCTATGAGGAGCTGCTCACGGCCAAGCCTGATCCTACCTTTGTGGAGCCGAAGGGTATGTCAGGACCAGGGACATCCTGTCAGCCCAGAGCAGGCCATGCCAGGCCAAGGCTGATGCTGACTCCATGTGAATGTCTGCCAGAGGGTTCTTAGTACACGGCAGCATCACACTGTCCTTTGCTGAACCTTCACTGCTTTGGGTCATGGATTTTTTTCAAAGACTGCCTGGATTAGCCCAGTCGCCCTGGGTGAAAAATTGCTCATAGAGAAGGGTTAATGAGCAAACAAAGCCAGGTTCCTGAGTTCTCACCAGCCTCTGTTAAGGCCCAGCAGACCATCCCAAACCCTCCCCACCTGGTTTGGGGCAGCAGAGGCAGTGCCCTCTCATCTGGGCCTCCAAAAGAGCCTGCTGGGAGCCAGTCTCCTAGGAGTCACTCCTATCATGTGACCCCCGATTACGGAATCACTGTGAGGCCCCAAGTCTTCCCACATCAGGCTCTGAGCTCACAGGGACATTTCTTGCAATGAATGGTGAAGCATTTGGATGGGGTGGGGGGGAGGGCACAGATGAGGAAGCCCTGGTTTTCTTGGGCTCTGCAGTTCATTTCCCAGCACTGAGCAGGGTCAGGGATGACACCTGTTGCTGCCTTTTCTGCTAGGCATCCAGAAGAATGCGCAGGCCCTGCATCGCATGCTGAAGCAGCCGCTTGTCTGCCGTTCTTCCAAGCCCAGGCTGGACACTTTCCAGAAACCCTACATCCCCAAAGAGAAGCGGGTAAGCACCTCAGCCACTGATTGTGCTCCTGAGTTTTGAGGTCTCCACCTTGGAACCCTGAGGCCCGTTTCCCAGCACTCCCTACTGCCCCCTGTCTGTCATTATGAGTGCATGAAGTGACAGACCTCCTTACCTTGTGCCAGGCTGCGAGAATACCAATACCACCCCCAAGGAAGACCCGAGCGCAGCTGCTGGATGACATCCTCATTCGCATGCGGGACCCTCGGAACGTCACTGAAGCTCCACTGGGTATGGTGCCACTGTCCCATCAAGGCTGGTGTCTACCAGGGAGGGCTGGTACGAAACTAGGAGGGAGCATGGAAAGCAGGGAAGGATGTGGAAAGTGGGATTTTCCAAGCCGTTTACAGTGTCTGCAGGACAGGCAGGCAAGTAGGAGGCTCCCACGTCACCGGGCACCTTCGGGTTTTGAACTAAGGCTTGACTTCCCACTTGTCGGGGCTGTACTGCCTCCACACACCAATATACTTTGTGTATCTCTGGGCCTGAGGAACCGGCGAGCCTGGCGCTGTCCGCTCTCGTCCCTGCAGGCGCGGTGCTGAAGCGACGCGCACAGCAGCGCCTGGTGAACCAGAAGCAGTACCGAGAGGCCAAGCGGCTGCTAAAGGAGTTCCGCGCGCGCTACAGGCAGCTGGTGCGCAGCTCGCTGCGGACTGTGTTCACTGCCAGCCCGCCGCCCAGGCCGCCCACCCGTCGCGCACTGAGCGCGGGCCAGCCCAAGTTGGGCCGCTTCCTCGAGTTCATGGACGAGTTCTGCCAGGAGCCCACGGCCAGCGACTCGAAAGAGTAGAGCTACGCACGGCCCTCCCCAGGGGCTCTGTGCCCTGGACCGTACCCTGCCCTGAACAGAGAGGGCTTGGGCTCCATCTCGCTCCGTGGTCAGCATGTGGAGCTCGGTAGGACCTCGCCTCCGAGCCTGGCCAGGCTACACCTGGTGGGTGGCCCAGCAGCAATAAAGAGTGATGCATAGAGCAATACAGTGGGTACCAAGTATTCTTGGAAGCCAGGTCAGGGCCACAGTGGTGGTGTCACTAAGGAAAAATCTCCACTGATTCCTGCATCCCAGAGGGCTATGAGAAACCCGAGTTGCTCGTGACAGCTTCAATAAGTGCTGAGACAGAGAAGTAGCACAGAAAGCTCAGAAGTTAAGTGGGCTGTAGCCAGCAAGAGGCAGAGGACCCAGGCCGGACAGATTGTGAGGGTGAAAGAAGATGGAATAGTCCCTTTTGAAATAATGACTGGTAAAAGGGGGAGGGGCTAGTTTCCCAGGGTCCCATAACCCAGGACACAAGCTAAAGACAGGAATACAAACATCTGGGCTGGGTGGGAACCTGGGCTGGGTGTGTGCCCAGGAGGCAGCACCTAACCCAAGAAGGTCTGGAGAAGTCCACCAGGGCTATGCTGTGTGGGACCTAAGACTTCTCCCCTGAGGAAAGCGTCTTCAGATTGGGGCATCAGACAGAGCTGCAGTACCCAGGGTCGAAGAATGCTTCTTGGTCCTCAGCAAGGCAGACGCTCCAAATCCAAATCACAACTATTTACACATTATTGAATTCAACTTCACAGGCATGCAAATAGTCAGTTAAAGTGCTTACACTAAGCTGTGATTGTAGCCAGATACCCATGTGCATGTACATCACTATGCAGGCCACACCAGATGACAAAGTACAGTTAGCTCATTTGGATGTCTGACAGATAGAGGTAATGCAGGGACCCACAGCAGCAGCCACATTCAGGGCATTTGTGCTTGGCTTGCTAGACTGGACTTTCAGGAGTTTCGAAGTGTCCATCTTTCCTTTATTGTTAGGAGAAGCCACCTTGACAGTAACACTGTCAACCCACCAGGTTCCACTTCTTGAGAACCTCCTAGACTGCTTCCTTCGGCCAGACATGTTATTGCTACATATTCTCAAGAATGGACCTACTACCTACACACATACACACACGCGCGCGCACACACACACACACACACACACACACACACTCTTTTCCAACCTAGCTTCTTAACAGTCTCCCCAGGAACAGAGCTGACTCTGAAGGATGGCAGTTTTAATGGTTTATGCTACAATGGACTATGTAGCCTGAATGCATAAGTCCCTCAGTTCCAGGTCTGCTCTCTGTACCCCCATGGCAGCCCCTTAATCTGTGTGCGGGCATTCCAAAGAGGGCACACTTGTCTGGGCCAAGCACCACCTTCTCTCCCTTGAACAAGCTGGTTGCCTCTCCTTGCTAAGTTTCTGATCATTCTGAGTTCCTTCCTTTGGCTTCTTACCCCAGAGGCTACTTCATAGAGAGCAAGTTCAAGCATGAGCCCCCTTTTTCATACATGTAACAAAATGTTGACTGAACCCCAGCAGGAAGCACTATGTTGTACCCCAGTTCTGCTACTACTCTAGTAAGACTTGGTAAGACGGCTCATGGTTTTCATTTTTTTTCTTGTATTTTCTGACAGAGTTTCATGTAGCCCAGGATGACCTTGAACTCCCGATCCTGCTCTTAACTTTCACCTTGAGTTCCCTAACTCAATCGTCTAGTCACCCAGAATGCTAGTGAACAATCTGAAGGTTACTGAGGCTATGGGAGAACCCACAGATGGAGAAGCAGACTATGCTCACACCTGGAATTAGCTCAGTGGGCAAAGTGGGAAGACAGCCTAGTCACCTGCCCAATCAGTTCCAGTCCAGACAGCAACTGGAGCCATACTGTTCACCAAGGCCAGTGGTAGAGGTTTGCACTGCAAGGTTAGCTGCGGCCACAGCACTACAAGAGGCAACCAGCAGCTTTGGGGTCAGAGTGCTCAGCACCTAGGCTCTGCACTGCCAGGGCTGGAGTTCCCATCTGTAAAGGAGGACACCCACCATACCTAGTTACAGGGGAATTAACAGTGTGTAGAGCGTCTTGCTACTATAGGGACCGAGTACTGTTTTCAAATCTCCGCTGGCTTTTCAAATCTCCCTTGAAGGCCTTGGGTTGAAGGTCTTTGAAGATCCCACATGGGCTGGCAGAGTCTTCCAGGTTCGTTTTCTGAGTTTAAGAGAAACAGGTTAACATTTGTTCTATGTTCAGTGAAAAACTCATGTCAAAGGTATTTTTTATGACTTTCTGAGCAATGGTTCCAAAGAAGAGTACGTTTAACAATCATATTTCTAAGTACAGCTGTAAGGGACAAGGATGGTGGCACCCCACAAGTCACTCTTTATGCAAACTGTGCCTTCAGAGAAGTAGGGATGGTCAAGAGAGGTCAGGAAACTAAATACTGTCCATTAGAATACATCAAAAGGTATATTTGTTCCTTGTGGAGACCGCTTTCCAGTGCCTTTCCATCCCAGGTACCTCCCTGCCCCAGGACAGCACCCAAACACCTGCCTTGAGCTCAGTCCACACTGTCAGACGCAGGTCTCTCGAGACTAATCAGAAGTAGACTGTTTGCTTTCACAAGTCTGCTTTACTGCATTTCCAACCTGGGCCTCGCCTGGAACAGGCACATACACATGAAGAATGCACTTTGGTTCTGTTTTAGTCGTACAACATCCCACTCAATTCCACACCATTTCACTGTGGCGAAAAGCATCCCTGACAGGGCATACCTTGTCCCAAGTCCTCTGTCAAAAGGCTCTTTATGAGTCTAGGGGTTACAGACAGCAGTGGCAGTCCACCAGGATGCAGGGCCCCTTCTCCGATCCTAATGTAAACAGGTAGAGTAAGTCACAACCACCAGACCACAAGGAGCTATAGCAGGTTGCCTAAAACCAAAGAGACAACCATTTTATATTTCTAGGTGGAAAGGTTTGGCTCTTGGCTCTTAAGACAATTATATCTGTACAGTTAAGAGTAAACAGTGTATCAGGTGCAGAGAGAGGGAGGGGGAGAGGGAAGAAGGGAGAAAAAGAACACCCACTTGTCTTGCATAGTATCTGTTTCTTGCTTTGCTGGAGCTTAGGGCTGATGGTCATGTCTGATGCAAACTGGAATCTCAGCTTGGAGGGAGAACTGATGGCTGCTACAGGAATCTGGCACCAGAAGAAGGATACACCCTGCACAGTCTGACACTGAAGCCTGCACTGTCTGTGCTCACACTTGGTGGTAGGGAAGGGAGAGGAACGAACCTGATCTTAGCATGGCTTTGTCTAACTCCTTCTAGACCTGAGACACCACAAAGTGGACACAAGAGTTCATTTGCCCCTCAGAAGAAAAACTGGCAGACACAAAGCAGTCTGGTCACGTGGGTTTGGTGCCTCTTCCACCATCCACTTTGACTAAGTTGAAACCTCTGTGTGTTCCTACATGTCTTCTACAGAACAGTCTTCAGAATGCTACGGTGAAAGGTGCGTTTCTGGGTCATCTAAGAAAATGTGTGCAGCAACCTAGTCCTCGCACCCTCCTGGGTCAGGAGACTTTAACCAGTTCCATCCTCTCTAAACACTAAGTCTAGGGAGCATCCTATGGCTGAGGAGCAAAGGGCTGGCTAAGAAAGGTGTAAGACCCTAAGGAATTTTATTCTGAAAGAAACAGCAAAGGCTGTAATTAAAATAACTACAATAAAATTCCACTTATTACTTAGTTCACACTACAGGGTTTTCCCTACTAAGTACTCTGTATATGATGGATATAATCAGGGGATATAGGTACAACTTAACTGAAAGAAACAAAAACAGCCATTCTAAAACCTCTGTCACTTGGGTGTCCCCTACATCCACAAATTATGTGACCTTCACTATTATCCTGCCCTAGAGAACTACAGTAGAAACCAGAACAGTGGGTCTTCATTTAAAGTGGGGCTGGGGCTGGTCCAGCTTTAATATCCCATGATGATGAGCTAGCCTCTACCCTCTCCTGATGGCTCTCCACTTCAGTGACAAGCTAGGAAGAAGAAACCCCAGGTCACTATTGGTTCTGGTGAGAGGTCAGCTTGGGGAACGCATTAGGAGATCACTAAAATGAAGAATGGCTTCTTTGGCCCTGCCAGTGATCCAGACCTGCCTCATTTCTTAGGACTTGACGTAAATGCAGCTTCTGAACAGGGTGACTGTTCTATAATCACTGCAGGAGAACATCCACTCTTCCCTGGGAAAGTTATTTAGGGAACGGGAAAAGACAGAGTTAACCAGCTCATAAATACTGACGATGTATGGGAAATGTTGCTGGTGGCAAGCTAAGTGCTAGTTCCCACTGCTATAGAGGAAATGGCTGTTCAGAGATCATTAACACACTCTCTGGCCGAACACACGTGCATGCCCCCTCCCAACGGGGACTATCCTATGGTCCAGCACAGGGTGGGGTGGTCTAGGAGCTCAAAAGTGCCTACTGAATCAGCCGCTGCCCATGTTAGTCAGTGGCTAGTTTGTAACCAGACAATAATTAATGAAAAGCTTTACTCTCTGATGGGGCATTTTACCTTAAAAAATAATAAAGGACATTTATGACCAGTATACTCTCCCTACAAAAAAAAAGTTTTGGATTTTTTGTTTTGTTTCTTTTAACAAATAAACTCAGCTGGGAAAAGAATTCCTAGACAAGCCTCAGCCAGACTTTTTTTTAAATTTTTTTTTTTAAAAAGAGGTAACTAAGGGACAGAGGCCAGTGGCTGGTTGAATAATCCCTGACTTGATACCAATCCATCTGGTCCAGATGACATCTTCCAACAGGTACAGTCAGCTACTCATGAATGTCACTAAGGTTACCTTCCTGGAGAAGGGCTACCAAACCCTTTTGAGGAATGGCACATCTCTTAATGTCCCATCAGAAAGACTCACCCTCCTCTTACTCATAATTTCCTCTTTAATAAGAAAACAAAAGAAGCAGAATGCACATACAGAAGGAGCACAGCAGAACGAGGGCAGTGAAGTAACGTCTTTCACTCTAGCTCATCAGCTCTCCCGACCGTTCTATTTCCCGTGTCTCTCTACTCTGTAGGAACCCATGTCAACAACTGTAGCTGTAAAGGACTGTCCAGTGACTACATGTTACAGCATCTTGCATGCAGCGCTTTAGTAGTTTTCCCACCTTCAAAGCTAAGCGGACTAAAAAGAAAGCCTTTCCTCCTCAATGTAAACTGTTCTGCCTTGACTTCAAGAACGACTGCTCAGCAGGAAGCATGGGAAACACTGACCACAGCACACCGGGTCTCGGGGTGCACAGAGATGGCCCCAGGCCAGCCCAGTGTTCACTGTACTCACTCAGCAACAGCAACACTGCACCTGCAGTCATGCTTGTCACTACTGCTGTGCACACTCTTAAAGTCAAGGCAGTAACTAGGGGCAGGGGGATATTTAAAATATATATTTCTCATCTATTAAAAATATTTTACCTTTTTCCCAAAACCAAAAATTAACTCCAACTGAAAGTGTTTTTCTAATGATTAATGGCATATAAAAGGGTGGCATGTGGAAAAATAAGTGTCTTTGCTACTACCCAGTAAGACTAGCCTTCCAATAATAATTACTAAGATCATAAAAGAAATATAAAATGGCAAAAATTTCAAAGTTTTCTCTAATGGAATCTCCTTGTATCTGCAGACCAGGGCCAGCCCTCCTATTTGGGCATTAACATGCTTTCTAGCAGCCCCTAAAGCCTGAAGTTACCTAGGACAAGAAGTAAATGGTGTGACTATAAAGTAATGAGACTATTGCATGTTTTAAAAACACACCCACACCCCAGGACTCACAGTTCCCCACCAGAGCAACCTCTGAAGCCACCTATCTCGGCGATGGCCACACACAACCAGCATCCCTGGGAACAGTCAGTTCTGAGCTGCAGAGAAAGATCTCCGTCTGCTCCAAGGGACAGCTTTCTTGGGACTCCATGTGCTCCTTCCCCTCTCTAGGAGCTTCAATCACCTTTGGGCTAATTCCAAATGTGAGGTTTTCTCTTCTACAATCCCAAAAAACTGACATGTGCCCCGAGGAAACAGAACTACAGGTAACCTCCTGTTGCCACTGAGGAGGGGGTTATCCTCTAGCTATTTCTACACTTTGAATGTTTCAGAAACTCTCTGATCAAAGGCAACTTCACTGGAGAATTATGCAGTATCCTGCTGAGACCTTTCAAGGGAGACAGCATAGGGTGGGTATAGAAGCTCCGGAAGGTTTGTTAAAATGCCAATCACATGACTATGGTAACAGCTCATACAGAAAAAGGGAACACCAGCCCACCTGAGAGTCCTAAAATCCTATCAGAATCCCTATTCTCACTGAGCCCAGAAGGGCAGAAGCACCAAGCACCACCAGGGATGCAAAAGACACATGGTGTCAGCTGCTAAGAAAAATAAACCCCAAAGGTCCATGGGACTGAATTTACCAGCTGCATCCAGCTAGATACCTTGTTTCCACAGTATGGGAGTCTCAGCATTGACCTTTGCCTGACTTTGGGGCAAGTTTTTCATGATTTTTAGACCAAAATTTCAGATAGCCATCGCCAAGTGGAAAGTAGTAAGGAAACCTCATAGCTATCTCTGGCTAGGGCTCCTGGGGAAGCAGAGTCTGTAAACGGGGTAGGTGAGACCACTGCAGTTCTACCGTTTACATCTCAGCAACGTCAGCTGCTCCAAGGGGGCTTCACACTGTCACACTCAGTGCCCAGCCAGTCTCCCTAGGTCGCCCTGGCATGCATGCCCTCGGGCACCCTGTGATTGTGGAGAATCCAGGAGACACAGTGGTCAGCCTGGGCAATACCACTCGGCAGCTGAGAACCTCAACACCTGCACTGCAGCTTCATCGAGCTGACACCAAGGCCAGGTGTCAATCACAGCATCAGTCAAATGTCATAGTTTAAACAGGGAATGCAAATTAACTTCTGGAGAAGCAAAGGTTCTAAGCTCAACTGATTTAGGTATGTAGAGTCACATAGGGAAGACAGACGAACATGATCACCTGTTCATCTCGGATCTTCCCAAGCACTGCACTGCTTGTCTCTGAAGAATGGATCTTTATCTGCAACTACTACTCTGTCGTAAGAAGCTGGGGGGTCTCACGAGTGTGAGAAGGTACTCTCTCCCTGCCATCTCTAACTCCAGCCATCACGTTCATGAGTGAGGCCAATCTCAATCTCATTCCAAGTGGGTGCTGCCAGATTTGGGCCCAGAAGCCTTCAGAGTTGGCTCACTTGGGGTGAGAAGCATGGCTCAGGTTCTACAGAGCCAAAGATACAGACCCTTGGCTTTGATTACCAAGATCCTGAAGCCCCTCAGATTCGTATTAGACAGTGTTTTGCCATCGAAAGAAACTTAAAGTGAGACCATTCAGCTAGTTCTTTTGGATAAATGACTGAGGTCAAGGCTTCTGAGAAGCCGTAACATTACATTGTTCAGTAAGTGCTACTTGGCCCCAGCCAGGCTGCTGGACCGTAAGAGATACTGATCCATGTTTCGTTTCCGCCGGCTCACAGTCCGCCTCTCACTGTCAAATATGCGCTGTGACTGCAGAGCCATTGAGCTCGCATCCTCCTGCTGCCATTTCCGCCCCACCTCAAGCAGCCCTGGGTCTTTGGGGGCCAGGCCCATGTCACTGCTGGGTGGTCGCAGTTTCTTAACACCATTTTGTTCCAAGTGCTTGGTCTTACAACGCCTTTTCCGGCCCCGACGCAGGGAAGGAATTGACTCCTCTCCTAGGCTGTCGACCAGAATGCCATTAGCCAGATCAAAATGACCGAGTGTCTTCAGCTGTTTTTTTGTTTTGAGGACCCCACCCAAAACATCATTTTTGGGTAGCACTGAATTAACTGCTGAAGTCTTCATGACTGTGCTCATGCAAGTTTTGTCTAACGTGGCATCTAGGGCGGACCTTGACTCCTCAAACTGCTCTCCTTCCAAAGAAGGCCCACTGGCTATAACTCTGTGCTCTGAGGAATGGCAGGTTTCCAGTGGGACCTCATGGCTCCTTTTTCTAACATAGTCCTGTTCTGCTTCTGTCTGGTTAACAGAAGGGAAATACTCAAGGGTAGTGGATGTGGGCCCAACACACTCTGAGAGCACCTGGGCCCTGGACAGTCTTGTACTTAGAGCCAGAGGTGGCCTCTCCTTGTTAGAATGGATAGCTTCAGCGCCCGGTAACTCCTCCCCTCCTTCAGGGGCCAGGGAGGTGAGAGTGGCTTTGGAAAGAGTCTTCTTGATCTGCCGTTCCTGGAAGATTTGTTCCCATTTCTTGAGGATCCGTGGACTAGCCTCGTAGGAAGTCTGCTTCTGAAGGCTTCTGCTCAGGTTACGAGGTGTTGACTTGATGATGAGAGGACTTAGCACACGGCCGTCAGGGAGTCTCTTGGGAGGGGTGCATGGTGAGCAGACGATGGGCTTGAAGTGGTTTAGTTCTTCAGAGATGCTGTCATTGCTTTCAGGGCTGATAGAGCGCTCTGGCTTATGCAAGGAAGTCAAGGATGAAAGGGAGCTGAAGGGCAGGCGCTTTTCTATGGTTAAGTCAGGAGCTGAGAGGCAGCGGTTGTTTTGAGTGGATAAGAGAACACCAATAATGGGGGTGGAACCTGGGGTTATAGTTGTGACCTGAAAGAAAGAGAAAAGATCGTGTGTGTGTGTGTGTGTGTGTGTGTGTGTGTGTGTGTGTGTGTGTGTGCGCGCGCGCGCGCGCGCGTGCACATGCATGTGCAGGTGTCCACAGAGGCCAAAGGTGTTGGATCCCCTGGAGCTAGAATTATGGGAAGCAACTGACTGATGTGAATCTAGTTCTCTGCAAGAACAAGCGCTCTTAATTGCTGAGCCATCCCTCCAGCTCTCTCTGTATGTATTTGTTTCTACATAAATCCTTTAGATGGTGGGAGGATAGGGAAGGAAGGGAGAGGAAGGGTAATGTGTACCTAAAAAAAATTAGGGAAATCCTAGCTTAAAACACACAAAGGTGATAAAAACATTAAAATCTGAAGATGGGTCTCACTGAGACCTATTTAAAAGGTGTCTATCTATAATGGTGTAATACCCCCAAACTCTGTCTACTAATTTGAACCTTCTTCCTTCATCTCTGTCTATAGGCTCCTAATCCTGTGCAACTAATGCACTTTGCCTGGTGCAGGGGAAGCTATGTGTGTGTTGCTGGGGAAGCCTGAGGCTGAGGTGTACCTTGGCTCTGTTGGGTGGAGCTGTTCTGAGCCTGCTCTTCACTCGGTCCTGAACCGTGTCACTGCAGCTCTGACTCCTCTGCACCTTGGTGTTTAGCTTCCTGTAAAAAGAATGTATAGGTATGATTAGCCCTACATGAGTTTAGGAAAAGATGACAGTCTCTTACCATTCTAAGCCACTCACCAAGAAAGACAATTTCCTTAGGTAGCTATAATAGAATACAGGTTAACTTATTAACTAAACGCTAATGAGAAAGACGGGACACTTAGTTCAGGCTTGTTTTCAGACCCTGCCTCAGTGAAGCAGAGAAGACGGTTGTTTGCCAAACTTAGAGAGTGGGGGTACTTTACCTCCCTCAGAAGGTGTGTACAGCATGCAGTCCCCTAACAAATAAAACCTGTTCTTCCTATCAGACCCACACCTCTCTGCAAGCAATCTAAGGCAGCCATGAAACAAAACAAAACAAAACAAAAAAACAAACAAAAAGGAAGCATTTAGGAAGATGCACCACAATGCTCTGTTGTTTATTCATTTAGGGAGTCAAAATTAAGTGTAGTCTCTTGCTAACTCATTACATTTGCATTTCCAAAGACCTAAGTCCCAATGACTTAAGAGTTTTCCAGAACACATGAATTTTATCTTTTGTATATGACTTTATAATTTTTGTTATACTTACTTTTTGTGTGTGTGGTTTGCCTGCATGTATGCCTATGCCTATGTATGCATGTATGCCTGGTGCCTATGGAGGCCAGAAGAGAGCATTGAATCCTCTAGGACTGGAGTTACATATGGTTATGAGCTGCTATGTGCCAGCTAGGAATCTAACCCGGGTGTTCTGGAAGAGCAGCCAGTGATCTTAACCACTGAGACCTCTCTTGAGCCCTGAACTGACTCAGAGCCACACTCCCCATATCTGTATCGAGTGCTGCAGTCCGCCATGTTCTAAGGTGACAAATGAAGCAACAGATAAGATATTATACAGCAACGTTTCCAAGTTGCTTTTTGCTGTTGTTTTTCACCCTTCGGGAGTTCTATAGGTTGCTACATTTGGGTCTCTGGCTCATTCTGAACCACTTTGCATGTGGTGAATGGTTGGGGGCCCAGCTTCCTATTGGCTTATGGAATGCCAGATGAACCTACTATGGAACTGCATACAGACACCAAGCATTTATCACATACTCAGTACATACAAGACACTGATGGGCATTACCCAGGCACTGAGAAGACAGAATTAGAAACTAGTGGGACAGACAAATAACTCAGTATTATACAATTTAAGGGCATAATGAAATAGTCATGGCTTAAGAGTCAGAAATGACATTAAAAAGAGGGTTATTAATAACTGACATGGAATGAAAATACTGGGAAAATCTGTAGCATGTTCACCTTGCTGGATGATGAAGTATTTGCAATAAACCAAGACTGACACCTGCCTGTGTAGATGGCTCCGAACAGAAACCATTTCCTCAACTGATCCTATTTAGCTCTTTAATGGGATGTACCCTATGAACTCTTTTGTAGAAAAGATTCTAACATCAGAACTGGCTCAGACAAAACTTAGAAAGGAAAAAAGAAGGAAGGGAGGAAGGAGAACAATCCTAGTATTCTTGCACCTTGCAGCTCCAGAGAAGGCACTCAGAATGACTTCTATCCCAGCCCCTCTGTGGTTTCTCCCAGTCTATGTCTTATGGCCACCTGGTACCAACAGGAGAAAATGATGGCTGTGCAACACAAATCTGCACTTTAACAAGAAGATTCAGCACTTAAATGAGATGAGATCTCCCACAATTTTGGAGCAAGCAAAAAACTTCAACATCACCTTAAGAAGACAGTTCCTTAGAAGCAAGCTGGATTGATACTTTAATTAGAAACCTATTTAAGTTCATTTGCATTCCTAGAAGCCACACAAACTATCAGTCACGTAAGCCACTTGTGGTGGTCTGAATAGGACTGGTCCCCAAAGACGCATGTGTTTGAATGCTTGGCCCATAGGGAGTTGCACTATTATAAGGTGTGGCCTTGTTGGAGGAAGTGTGTCACTATGGGGAAGGACTTTGGGGTCTCATATACTCAAGTTCTGCTTGTGTAGCACACAGTCTCCTGTTTCCTGTAGATCAATATGTAGAACTCTCAGCTCCCTCTCGAGCATCATGTCTGCCTACATACTGTCATGCTTCCTGCCAGGACAATAATAGACCAAACCAGCTCTAATTCAATGTTTTTCTTTATAAAAGTTGCCATGGTTGCCAGGCAGTGGTGGCACACGACTTTAATCCCAGCACTTGGGAGGCAGAGGCAGGTGGATCTCTGTGAGTTTGAGGCCAGCCTGGTTTACAAGAGCTAGTTCCACGACAGGGTCCAAAGCCATAGAGAAACCCTGTCTCGAAACCCAATAATAATAATAATAATAATAATAATAATAATAATAATAATAATAA